CCTAGACCCTTCATCAGAAAAAGCTTTTTCTGATGAAGGGTCTAGGCCCGAAACATCAGCCTTTCTGCTCCGATGATGCTGCTTGGCCTGCTGTGTTCATCCAGCTCTGCACCTTGTTGTCTCGGATTCTCCAGCATCTGCAGTTCCTACTATCTCTGGTCAGTATGTGTTATTGCTTTCATGTGCTAGGGTGTGGACTAGTGTGTTGTGATTAACATAGCTTTGAGAAGAACCATTAAACCCACTGGCCTGCAGGTAAAGAAAAAACACAAATTCTTTCACTTTGAGTGCTACCAGCCAGTCACTGTATAAAGGAATCAGGATAGAAATTTGCAATGAACCTACAAAGTCAAGAATCTCAAAATTCTCTATTCAATTACTATCATCAATCCCACCAGTCATATCAACTGTAACAACTGCAAAGCTCTACTATCTACTCTTCATTACCGACTCAGAGACTGATCCATTATATTTTTTTAACATTTTTTGGGCTCACCTAATATTCATATTTTGTGCGTGTGTTGCCTTTTTTGTTTCTGACTGCTAGCAACAGATAAACTCTCATGTTTTTGTTAACTCATGAACGCTGGTCAAATTGGCTCCTTTTAAACACAATATTTATTTGGTCTGGGAGAAAATTATCCTGAAGGAAAAGGATCCTTTTTTAAATTATCTTCGGTGTGATCAATGAAGTGTGTTGGGTGAAAGGAGGGGAGCCACTTCATTCTTCCCTAACCGGGACTTAATGATTTCGGGTATCCTATTTGGACCTGTAATACATTGGGGTACCTCATGTGGGAGTGACCACAACAAAACATTAACTGTATCATCTTGCTGGAATACTGTAAAATTAACATAAGAATATTGTTGTGAATCGGTGCATAGGACAATCCTGCTCAACTCACATCTCAGGCAGCACTACCTTGATTTTGGCAACTATTAAACAAGTTGTTGGTGTTGAGTTGTCCCTTGGCTTATCTGCAGACTCATGTCAGTATTTAGAGGTCCCTGTCCCTTCAAATTCTGCCTATTTATTTTGATCCCTCATCCCTATAGCCTTGCTCAAATTTGCTGATGGGATCAACTGGGGTCTTAAGGTTCTTGAAAAGTTTGACAGGTTTTGCTATTGTTCACATTGTCGGATAGATGCGAGTGTTGCAACTGTATTGAAATTGCTTGGCTAGTGGAACAGCAAGTTCTTCAGCACTATTGCTGGAATGTTGTCGGGGCTCATAGCTTTTGCAGTATCCAGTGCCTCCAACTGTTTCTTGATATTATGTGTAGTGAATCGAATTGGCTGAAGACTGTGATAGTGGGGATCACTAGTGGAGGCTGAGATGGATTATCCACTTAGCACTTCTGGCTGAAGATTGTTGCAAATCCTTCAGCCCAATCTTTTGCACTATGTATTGGGCTCTTCTGTCATTGAGGATAGGGACATTTGTGGAGCCTCCTCCTCTAGTGAGTTGTTTAATTGTCCACCACAATTCCCGACTGGATGTGGCAGGACTGCAGAGCTTAGATCTGATTCGTTGGTTGTGGGATCACTTAGCTCTGTCTATCACTTGCTGGTTATGTTGTTTGGTGTGCAAGTAGTCCTGTTTTCAATATCATGATGGTGGCGGAGTAAACAGCACTGCATTTGGGCTCCCGAGCCCAGGGTTCATCCACTCCATCTGTTTTTTCTTTTATCCTCCTTTTGTTTACCTTCTTGGGTATATCTCAGATGGCATTGGTGGCAGCGAGGTATCTAGTGTGCCAGAGGCAAGTTTGTGTTCCCAGCAGCGGTGGTAGAGAGAGACAAGTTCAGGCCCAGTGCCCGGTGCAGGACCTGGCAGCATTGGCGATGGCTACTTCAGTATGGTGGGCCCAGTTTGGGACCGGCAGGTTCAGATGAATTGCCAAGGTCAGTCCAGTGTGGTCTCATGGCGGCGATGACATTGGGGGAGGCGCGGTGAAGGGACTCGAGGCTGGCCGACTGCTTCATGATGTTTGTGGACTCGGCATCAGGGTGGCAAAGCCCAGATCCAGGCCCACGGCTGAAACACTTAACAGGAGGACTGTATTGTTGAACTTTTAACTTTATTTATTTTTTACCTTTATATTCTATGTCATGGTTTATTTTGTGTGTTTTTAAGATGGCACCAGATAGCGCTGACATTATGTAACACTTTTCCCGTGTATTTGTAACAAATACATGTACCAATACATGTGACAATAAATATATCAGTCAATTTCGTAGCTGTAGCAGGTTGACACCTCATGTTTAGGTAGCTCTGGTGCTGCTCCTGGCATGCCCTCCTGTACTCCTCCAGTGAACTAGGGTTGATCGCTGGCTTGATGGTAATGGTTGAGTGCCAGGCCATGAGATTACAGATTGTGTTGGAGTACTTTCTGCTGCCTTTGATGGCCCACAGTGCTTCATGGATGTTCCGACTTGAGCTGCTAGATCTGTTTGAAGTCTGCAACCACCACCAACAGCCCCCCTGGCCCCACCCCACATATCTAGCATGGTGACAGTGCCACACAACATGATGGAGGATATTCTCAAAGTAAAGGCAGGACTTTGTCTCCACATGTGTGATGGTCGCTCTTGCTGATACCATCACGGATAGATGCATCTGTAGCCAGCAGATCAGTAAGGATGACTCAAGTATGTTTTTCCCTCTTGACTGAAAACAACAAATGCTGGAGATCACAGCGAGTCAGACAGCATCCATGGAGAGACAGCAAGCTAACGCTTTGAGTCTGTATGACTCTTCATCAGAGCTGATGTGAAGTCTGGAGGGGACAGCACTTATGCTATAGGTGAGTGAGGTGTGGGAGGGGTGCGGCGTAGTGTGCTAGGGGAGAAAAGATGTCGATAGCTCAGATTAAGTGATCAAAATGTGAAAATGGCAGAACAATGGTGTGTCTAACTGCCAGACTTGAAAGAGCAGAGTTTTGCACTAGGTTGGGGGGAGGGGAGAGAGAACATGGTGACAAAGAATGTAACAAGTAAAGCTAAAAGAAAGGGAAGAAATGGGAGTTGCTTCACAATTTGAAGGTGTTGAACTTAATATTAAGTCCAGTGGGATGTAAAGTGCCTAGTCTGAAGATGAGATGTTGTTCCTCCAGTGATTAACTGGAACACTGCAGCATGCTGAGGACAGACAAGTGGGCATGCGAGCAGGGCGCTGTTAAAATGACCAGCTGCAGGAAGGTCGGGGTCATGTTTGTACACAGGCCAGAGGTGTTCTGCAAAGTGGTCACTCAGTCTGTGTTTGGTCTCTCCAAAGTAGAGTAGGCCACATTGGGTGTAGCAAATGGTTTTCCCTCTTGTTGGTTCCTTCATCACCTGCCGCAGACCTAGTCTAGCAGCTATATCGTTTAGTCCCAACCAGCTTGATCAGTAGTGCTATTGCTGAGCCACTCTTGACGGTGGAAATTGAAATCCCCCATCCAGGGTACATTTTGCACCTTTGCTACCCTCAGTGCTTCCTCAAAGTTTTGTTCAATGTGGAGGAATACTGACTAATCACCCAAGGGAGGACGATACATGGTAATCAGCAAGAGTTTTCCTTGCCCCTGTTTAGCCTGCTGCCATGGCTCTTCATGGGGTCTAGAGTCAATATTGACGACTTCCAGGTCAACTCCCTACGGACTGTATACCAATGTGATGGGTCCTCTATTGGGTCTGTTCTTCTGGTGGGACAGGATATATCCAGGGATAGTGATGGTGGTGTATGAGAAATTGTCTGTAAGGTATGATTCTGTGAGTATAATTATGTCAGGCTGTTACTAGGCTAGTTTGTGAGACAGCTGTCCCAATTTTAGTATTAGCCCCCAGATGTTAGTGAGGAGGACTTTGCAGCATTGACAGGGCTGTATCTGCTGTTGTCTTTTCTAGTGCCTAGGTTGATGCCAGATGATCCAGTCCAGTTTCATTTCTTTGCTGAGACTTCGTAGTGATTGTTACATCTGAGTGTCTTGCCAGGCCATTTCAGAGAGCAGTTGAGAGTCAACCACATTGCTGTGGCTCTGGAGTCACATGTAGGCCAGACCAGGTGAGGATAGCAGATTTCCTTCCCTGAAGGACATTAGTGAACGAGATGGGTTTTTCCAACAATCGACAGTGGTTTCATGGTCATGACTCCATAACTCCAAATATTGATTGAATTCAAATTCCACCATCTGCCATGGCTGGATTCAAACCCGGGTCCCCAAAACATCAGTAGATTCTTAATTTCAGTTTTTATTAAAATGGAATTCAAATTCCAGCATCTGTTAGGATTTGAACCTGCATCCCCAGAATATTGGCTGAGTTTCTGGATTAATAGACTAGTGGTAAAACAACTAGGCCATGGCCTCCCCTTCTTATGTTACAAGGGCAATTAAATTTCAAAAGCATTTCATTCGGTGTAAAACATTTGAGATGTCCAGTGGTTGTGAAAAGCGCTGTGTAAATATAACTCATTTTCATAGAATCCCTACAGTGTGGAAACAGGCCCTTTGGTCCAACAAGTCCACACTAATGCTCAGAACATCCCATCCAGACCCATCCCCCGTACAACACAGCTAATCTAAACATCCCTGAACACTATGGGCAATTTCCCATGGCCAAGCCACCGAGCCTGCACATCTTTGGACTGTGGGAGGAAACCGGAGCACCAGGAGGAAACCCACGCAGACACGGGGAGAACATGCAAACTCCACACAGACAGTTGCCTGAGGGTGGAAATGAACCCAGGTTCCTGGTGCTGTGAGGCAGCAGTGCTAACCACTGTGCCACCCTATTTGAATTTTTCATGGTAGCCCAGATGCTGTATGATCTAATGAAATGGATGGAAATTGCAATGAAAAATTTTAACTACCTTTAATTTATAATTAAGGCTGTGTGGTCTAATGTCTGTTACACAGTATTTACAACTGGTCTTATTGCCAGTCAGATTGTATTTTTTAATTATGAACCAAATTGGTATCACTATAATGGTCAGTAATGTTTAAAATAGCACTCACATATTTGAATTTTTCATGGTAGCCCAGATGCTGTATGATCTAATGGAATGGATGGAAATTACAATGAAAAATTAGTGTTCAATTGGGATCATATGTTCTGAGAATTTGAAGGATTGAATTTTCCACAGTGTTATGGGTCAACTATCTAATTTGCCATTTTCACTAAGTATACTTCTATTGATTTTTTTTTTGAAAATGCTTTGAGATGTGTAATGGTAGTTACATTGCAGCTGTAAAGTGTACACTGTTGAACTATACATAAATAATACAACAAATTTATCAAGTTGATTGCCAGCTTGCCAATCCAGCTACTAAGTAACAATGACAACTTGGCTGGTACACAATTGACTACACTGTTGAAGATGGATGAGACAAGGAGACTGAGAGATTGAAAGTCTGAGAGGGTGAACACTGAAATCTCACATTATTTTAGTTTGTTGTACTCATTTTTACAGGCATGCTTTCAATCTCACTTTCACCTTATGACCATCTTTCAGGAAGAGATTTTCATGAAATATTGACTATATGGAAATGCTTATTACAAAGGTTTATTGTTTGAATTTTATGACTGGCAATTGTCAAAATATTTAACTAGTTAGTATTTTGGACACTCTCTTTACAAAGAATTTGCAGATCTGCAGAATTTACATTTTCTTCCTTATTGACATTTTTGTGAATTTGTGATTATTGAAGATGATTATTGAACTGTTCCTTAATCTCCTAAACTGGGTGGCACAACCAGAAGTAAAATAACAGGCTAACTTTAATTTTCCATGTGAGTAATCTTAAACCTTTGCCTCCTACTTGATTTTCCCTTCCATTTAGTTATAACTGGTGGCAGGTCAACATCTGCTATATTGTCCCCAGTAAAGTTAAATTCAGCTGTCAGACTACATAGAAAACTTTGAAATATTTCATCTACTATTAATTTCTATTCTTCTCAGCCATTATTTGTTAGTTCTCATTCTTTTTCTTTCAATTCTGGACAGTTCTATTCAATCACTAGCAGAATAAATCTTTTCTTCCTTGAGCCCCAGGTACAGAGGTAATTGAAGCCATAGAGTCATACAGCACAGAAACAGACCTTTAAGTCCAACTTGTCCATGCTAACCAGGTATCCTGAACTGAACTGGTTCTATTTGCTTATGTTTGGACCAATTCGCTCTAAACCTTTCCCATTTATGTACCTATCCAAATGTCTTTTAAATGTTGTAATTGTATTTGCTTTTACCACTTCCTCTGTCAGCCCATTTCATACACACACCACCATTGTGTGAAAAAAATTAGCCTTCAGGTCCCATTTAAATCGTTCCCCTCTCATCTTAAACCTTTGGCTTCTAGTTTTGGACTCCCTTGCCCTCGGAAAACAGACCTAATCTATGCCCCTCATGATTTTATAAACCTCTATAAGGTCACCCCACAGCCTCCTATGCTCCAGGGAAAAAAGTCCCAGCTGCGACGTTATGCTGCAGCTGTATAAAACCCTGGTTAGACCACACTTGGAATATTGTGTTCAGTTCTGGTCACCTCATTATAGAAAAGTTGTGGAAGCTTTAGAGAGGGTGCAGAGGAGATTTACCAGGATGCTTCCTGGACTGGAGGGCAGGTCTTATGAGGAAAGGTTAAAGGAGCAAGGGCTTTTTCATTGGAGTGAAGAAGGATGAGAGGGGAGTTGATAGAGGTGTACAAGATGATGAGAGGCATAGAGTGAATACCTAGAGATATTTTTTCCAGGGTGGAAATTACTATTATGAGGGGGCATAATTTTAAGGTGATTGGAGGAAGGTATAGGGGAGATGTCAGAGGTAGGTTCCTTACACAGAGTGGTGGGCGTGTGGAATGCGCTGCCGGCAGTGGTAGTGGAGTCAGATACATTAGAGGTATTTAAGCGACTCGTAGATAGGCACATGGATAATAGTATAATGTAGGGTATGCAGGGTAGTTTGATCTTAGTCGGATAATTGGTCGGCACAACATCATGGGCCGAAGGGCCTGTATTGTTCTATGTTCTATGTTCTTTGTTCCCTCTACCTGTAACTCAAATCCTCCAGTCCCGGCGACATCCTTGTGAAATCTTTTCTGTATCCGTTCCAATTTAATAACATCCTTTCTATAGCA